TATGTACTCACCGTCGCAGTTGTACGTATTCCACGCAAAATCCGGAACACAAAGTCTCTCGACAGGACATGGCTTGGAAAGACAAGGATTCTAGGATTGAATGGAAATGTACTGTTATGTTTATCGACAGTTTCAGAACCTATCCTTACAAGACCTTTCAGAATWAGGTATTGTTTTTGGTCGATTATTCGTGAATGAATATACAAAAATACGATGCTATGTATTAGGTTCGCCGATTGCAAACGTTCACACACTGCATGTATTCAATGCCTGGGAAGTAAAAAAACCCTCAATTTATGTAAGATCACTTAGGCTGAAATCAGAGGCGCGAAAAGAGGGTGGTTCCAGGGGTTCCGGAACCCCGCCTTTCTTGGTAGACGAAGTCCTTGAAATACAAGAGAATTTTATTTACCGAATCAATATAGTATATAACTGCTTTTTCCGTGTGTATCCAAAACAACGSGCTTGCAGCCAATTKCCTTCTTTGCAGCATTGAGATCTGKTTTTTTTAATTATTATACAATAATTTCTTCTCATTTCATAATCTCCAAAAATATAAAGAAACTTTCTGTACGATCACAACAGAAGGAATCTTCAATCTTAAAATCACCAAAACAAAGCTAGAGCTTCCCCTCATATGAACCCCCTGCACACGCCTCCCCCCACCCCCTTTAGATACATCATCATGGGCTCTTACTTGAATTGGACAATATTCATAGCCTGTTTTGTTGACSAAGAAACGTGGTCGTGTCGAGTGGTCAGCGTCATTTAGTTCACACGATCTGGTCCGTCCAATTACTGGGCCCAAGTTGTACGACACACATTTGTGTTCACGAAAACATTGACTCTGACACAGTTGAAGAGCAGGTGTCATCATCTTKAYCGTACTGATCACGTGACCAGTCAAGGTTTTGTTCTCGATGCATTTGAGATACTTGAGATCTCTACAACCACCTTCACCTGTGGGAGGGAGTGTCAAAAAAAACNCTTTGTGGAACAGAAATTCAAACGAACGCACCCACGCACACATTCAAAAACGAAGTTTGATTTATAAATTATTCAGCTGTAAAATCCTGGAGCACTCACTTGGTGCTACTAGACTTTGCTTTTATATATTTTCCCTTTTCCCTTACCCCTTTTCATTTCCAGTGAGTTTTTCAAACTGATAAGAAAATTATTGAAAAAATAGAAAAAAATGTTTTGAAAAATCAATCAAATCAAATCAGCAAGTACCTGGCCGAATGAGAAATTGAAAAATCAGGTGGCCGAGTTGTTCAAAGCACGATTTTAGCAATAGCCTAGTTAAGTCCATAAGTTTTTTAAACAGAGTTAGTCCAGCTAATCTAGCCAGCTAATCTAGCTTTGAACAGCTAAAAAGTTGGAACAGCTTTTGAAAGTTACTCCAGGATTACAATAAACAGCATATTTTATATTAACTTCGCCTTTTGAATGACAATTTCGCTTTTTTTTTTCTTTTCGAAATATCAACAATAGAAATTTGACTTCAATCTTTACCTTTAGCACGTGAAAGATGGTAGAAAAGAAAAACCCAAAGCACCGCCATTCAGTGATCAGGAAGTTGATCTTCCATGAAGCTTTCTTTGTACGAGTCGCTGCGTTATGAGATAGTTTGATGAAGGTAAGAGACTTGTTCTATATTACTTATTAAGTATTAAACATCTGTATGTCTTGCTGAGTACCTTAGTAACAATGAGTTAGTCAGTTACTCAGGTAACATTGATGTACATNAAAATAGAAAAAAATGTTTTGAAAAATCAATCAAATCAAATCAGCAAGTACCTGGCCGAATGAGAAATTGAAAAATCAGGTGGCCGCGAGTTGTTCAAAGCACGATTTTATCAATAGCCTAGTTAAGTCCATAAGTTTTTTAAACAGAGTTAGTCCAGCTAATCTAGCCAGCTAATCTAGCTTTGAACAGCTAAAAAGTTGAAACAGCTTTTGAAAGTTACTCCAGGATTACAATAAACAGCAGATTTTATATTAACTTCGGCTTTTGAATGACAATTTCGCATTTTTTTTTTCTTTTCGAAATATCAACAATAGAAATTTGACTTCAATCTTTACCTTTAGCACGTGAAAGATGGTAGAAAAGAAAAACCCAAAACACCGCCATTCAGTGGTCAGTCTTCCATGAAGCTTTCTTTGTACGAGTCGCTGCGTTGTGAGATAGTTTGATGAAGGTAAGAGACTTGTTCTATATTACTTATTAATTATTAAACATCTGTATGTCTGCTGCGAGTACCTGAGAAATAATGAGTTACTCAGTTACTCAGGTAACATTGATGTACATCAAGGCGGTGTGGCGATAATCATGGTATCTGCTACGGCTAGAAGAACGATATTAGATTAGTGAAAGGATCATAAAGGCACGATTTTACTCAAGACACAAGAAATTAACAATTATACAGGCATATGCACCAACAAATGAAGCAATAGGCAATGAAAAGGATGACTTCTATTACCAGATACAAGACATCTTAAAAGACTGTAATAGTAACGACATGACAGTAGTGATGGGAGATTTCAATGCTAAAGTAGGAAGCAATTAATACTAACAGAGAGGAAGTGATGGGAAAGCATGGAGCTAGAGATATGAATGATAATGGTGAGAGGCTATGCGACTTTTGCAGTTTGAATGGATTCTGGTAATTAGTGGAACACTTTTTCCTCATAAAGATATACACAAATTGACATGGAAGTCTCCAGATGGGAAAACTGTAAATCAAATTGTAAATAGCAGCATGAGAACATCTGTAATGGATACAAGAGTTATGAAAGGAGGGACACGTATATAGTGAACACTATCTCGTTCGATCTAAAATAAAGTTAAGTTGTTAAGAGTAGAGAAGTTACAAAACAGAAGAGCGAGGTTTGACATAAACAAAGAATTTAAGAAAAAAAGAAAGAATTTAATAATGAGGTAGAAAGAAGATACCAAGCTTTAAGAGGCGCTGATGATGATGAAGATATAGACGAAGAGCACAATAGATTTCTGGATATGTACAGAGAAGCAGCGAAGGAAATACTAGGGAAAGAGAAGAAGCAGAGTAAGCAATGGATTAGTGACATAACATGGAAAAAAATCAAAGAAAGAAAAGATGAAAAGCAGAAACTGGAAAACACGAAATCAATTCTAAAACAAAGACGAGAAGCAGCGTACAAGGCAAAAAACATGGAGGTGAAAACCAGCGCAAGGAGGATAAGAGAAGATGGATAGAAGCGAAAGCTGATATGGCTGAAAAGGCAGCTGAAAACGGAAGGAGTAGAGAACTGTATAGTATATAACCAAAACAATAGTTGGCCACAAGAAAAAACAAGAAGTAGGGGTGAAAGACAAGTATGGGGTGATGAAGACAGGGAAGGAAGAAAAGTTGAAAAAGATGGGTAGAGCACTTTAGTAAAGTCCGAAATAGAGAACAACCTTTGAACCCAGTGACAACAGAAGAGCTACAACATGATCAGGAGATTGAAGAGATAAATATTGGGGAATGGTCGGTAGATGAAGTTGTTATAGCACTAAACGGGACGAAGAATGGAAAAGCGGCAGGAATACTAGATGAAGTTGGAGCCGACCTATATTTAAAGCTGATTTAGTTAAAACTGCAGTCAAGTCAACACCGCTATATAATAAACTGTGGACTACAGAACAATGGCCAAAAATGTGGAAAAAAGGTCTGATAGTTGAAATATTAAAAAAGGGAACCTTTGTGATTGTAACAACTGAAGACTAGGAGTGACGTTACTACCTGTTATAGGCAAAGTCTTTTGTAGAATGTTAATGGATCGCATAAAGACAGGCGTTGACAAGAGGTTAAGGAAAGCTGCTGTGCATACGCATTTCATTGACTTTGAAAAAGCTTTCGATTCAGTACACAGGGACAGTTTATGGAAATTATGGAAGGATACGGGATACCAGAAAAGTTTGTCAGAGTAATAAAAGGAATATATGATGGTTTTCAATGCGCTGTGATTGATGGAGGAGAAACCTCACAATGGTTCCAGATCAACACAGGAATTAAGCAGGGATGTGTCATGTCTGGATTTTTATTTTTATTAATTATTGACTGGATTATGAGGAAAGTGACGAGTGAAAGAAAAATGGGATTAAGATGANAGCTTCATTGAATATTTGAATTAATGATACAGATTAGGAAGAAGTGAAAGCTAAACATGCAGTCACAAACGACTACTGGAAATAAGATGTTAATATAGACGTACGAATGTTATTTAATAAATGTTGTCTTATAACAGAAGTCTCCAGATGGGAAAACTGTAATTCAAACTGACCATATACTTGTAATAGCAGCATGAGAACATCTATAATGGATATAAGAGTTATGAAAGGAGGAGACGTATATAGTGACCACTATCTCGTTCGATCTAAAATAAAGTTAAAGTAGTTAAGAGTGGACAAGTTCTTTGATATATTGAGTATTCTGGCCTCGCAAGACTTTGATATTAATTTCATCTTGATTTCTTGATTTCATTTGGTCTTGACGCACAAAAATAGTTTGTATTGTCTGTAAAACTAGTTTCGTTTTATTGAAAACCTCCTCAGTTACAAGACTTGTCTCAAGACAAGTTGCAAAGTAGAAGAGCGAGGTTCAAGAAATAATTTAATAATGAGGTAGAAAGAAGATACCGAGCTTTAAGAGGCACTGATGATGATGAAGATATAGACGAAGAGCACAATATATTTCTGGATGTGTACAGAGAAGCAGCAAAGAAAATGCTAGAGAAAGAGAAGAAACAGAGTAAGCAATGGATTAGTGACATAACATGGCAAAAAATCAATAAAGAAAAGAGTAAAAGCAGAAACTGGAATGGAAAGCACAAAATCAAAGAAGCGAAAGCTGATATGGCTGAAAAGGCAGCTGAAAACGGAAGGAGTAGAGAACTGTATAGTATATAACCAAAACAATAGTTGGGCACAAGAAAAAGCAAGAAGTAGGGGTAAAAGACAAGCATGGGGTGATGAAGACAGGGAAGGAAGAAAAATTGAAAAGATAGGTAGAACACTTTAGTAAAGTCCTAAATAGAGAACAACCTTTGAACCCAGTGACAACAGAAGAACTACAACATGATCAGGAGATTGAAGAGATAAATATTGGGGAATGGTCGGTAGATGTAATAGTTAGTTACCGAGAACGGAGGCATTACGCTATATACAGCCTGAGGGCCGCAGGCCCGAGGGCTGTATATAGCGTAATGCCGACGTGCCGGAGGTAACTAACAAACTTAGTTTTCAATTCACGTGGTTTTCGCAAAAACTGAATAGACTTAATGAATGTTTTCTTAGTTGGGTTTCGAACAATAGAATCCTCTTCTCTTGAGACTTTTTCATTAACTGTTGAAATTAGTTTCCTTTAAGAAAACCTGTTCATGCAATCGAAATTTGAATATTGTTATCAAATATTCTTAACAGTCATTCTGGAAATGATGTCGAACAGTGACGATTTGTTTATAGCTCAAAATACGTTTGACATCATTCCTTTGCCGAACTTTGATATTGACGATTTGCTATCGGATTTGGAACTCCGCATGCCTCTGCCTGCAAATAACGATGACAAAGTCTGCAGATGGGAAAAAATGAGAAAAATTTCAATAGTTTTTGATGTTAAACTCGCTCGAAAAAATACGAGGGAAGGATTCAAGAAGGAACAAACCAAAGTACCAAATGGTCGTTTGTACGTGCTTGGATAGAATGGACCGAGGAACGGAGAAATACGAGTCACACCATTACTTCTGATTCATAGCACACGTTGGTTAATTCCGAAGAATAGATTCTTTTAAAAGTAACGAAGATCTTGGTTATTGTTGTCTCTATTCTCTCTGATGAACATATGAAGAAAAGCTGCGGGACTCGAACTTATTACACTCTAAATCTTCTCAAGTTTTGCTGGCCGCACTGGTCTTTTTTAGGGGAAAAATATTTTAGTTTACTTAGTTTATTTGATATTCAGCAGGGAAATGTGGGGTTGATGAATTGAATTGAATAACTCGTTATAAATTCAGCGGGCTATATATAAGTGATCCCGGTCACTCATATATAGCCCGCTGAATTTATAACGAGCTATTCAATTCAATTCATCAACCCCACATTTCCCTGCTGAATATCAAATCCCTCCCCGGCTTTAACTTTCTATGGTATATACAACCCTATGAATAACAAAGAAAACCTAGTGAATTGGAAACTAAGAAGTTGTTATAGCACTAAACGGGACGAAGAATGGAAAAGCGGCAGGAATACTAGATGAAGTTGGAGCCGACCTATATTTAAAGCTGATTTAGTTAAAACTGCAGTCAAGTCAACACCGCTATATAATAAACTGTGGACTACAGAACAATGGCCAAAAATGTGGAAAAAAGGTCTGATAGTTGAAATATTAAAAAAGGGAACCTTTGTGATTGTAACAACTGAAGACTAGGAGTGACGTTACTACCTGTTATAGGCAAAGTCTTTTGTAGAATGTTAATGGATCGCATAAAGACAGGCGTTGACAAGAGGTTAAGGAAAGCTGCTGTGCATACGCATTTCATTGACTTTGAAAAAGCTTTCGATTCAGTACACAGGGACAGTTTATGGAAATTATGGAAGGATACGGGATACCAGAAAAGTTTGTCAGAGTAATAAAAGGAATATATGATGGTTTTCAATGCGCTGTGATTGATGGAGGAGAAACCTCACAATGGTTCCAGATCAACACAGGAATTAAGCAGGGATGTGTCATGTCTGGATTTTTATTTTTATTAATTATTGACTGGATTATGAGGAAAGTGACGAGTGAAAGAAAAATGGGATTAAGATGAACTTTACAACTGTTCTAGAAGACCTTGACTTTGCAGACGATATAGTACTACTGTCTTCAANTTTTAAAAGTAACGAAGATCTTGGTTATTGTTGTCTCTATTCTCTCTGATGAACATATGAAGAAAAGCTGCGGGACTCGAACTTATTACACTCTAAATCTTCTCAAGTTTTGCTGGCCGCACTGGTCTTTTTTAGGGGAAAAATATTTTAGTTTACTTAGTTTATTTGATATTCAGCAGGGAAATGTGGGGTTGATGAATTGAATTGAATAACTCGTTATAAATTCAGCGGGCTATATATAAGTGATCCCGGTCACTCATATATAGCCCGCT